TAGATCAAAGTCATCGCTCGTGTACTTGCACGAACAATTTATAGAAAAGTAACAGATGTTTTTTTTTATTTTCGCATTATTTTTTTCAAAAATGTGGTTTTGTTAAATCTTTAAATAAAGACAGAAATTACCCAGAACTAAAGATCTTTAAATAAAGACAGAAATTACCCAGAACTAAAGATCTTTAAATAAAGATATAAATTACCCCAAATGAAGATCTTTAAATAAAGACAAATAGAAATTACCCCCAACAAGATCTTTAAATAAAGGACATAAATTACTTCTGAGGACTTCTGTAGGCAGCGAAATTATGTCAAACTGCTCGTGCGTAGGTCGAAGAAGGAGTATTTTAATAAGCTGCTGTCAGGCAAACCTAATTCCAAATCTATCTGGACTGCTATAAATCAAATAATTAGAAAAAAACGCACATGTAATACAGCTGGACATTGCCAGATATCTGCTGATGACTTTAACAATCATTTTATATCATCTGTAGCGCTCAACACAGATGCTGATTACACAATCAGTGAGGAGCTTAAAAATTTTTGTAATTCTGCTCACCGTGGTAGGACAGAGCTGATCATTCCGCTTCTCACTGTTCATGAAGTATATGTTAGCCTAAAATCTCTTAAACCGTCTTCAACAACTTCGTTTGATGATATTTCTAATAATGTATTGAAGATTTCAGCTCCAATAATTTCCGAAGTTTTAACCTATGTCTATAACCTCTGTATTGCCAAGCATTATTACCCGACACATTTTAAGCATGCTAAGGTTATACCACTACACAAAAAAGGTAACATCCAAGATGCTAATAACTACAGGCCAATTTCTATACTTTCTTCCCTCTCCAAGCCACTAGAAATACATATAAACAAATGCATTTCAAATTACCTAGAAAAGCTCAAGCTTTTCCATAGTAATCAGTCTGGGTTTAGAAAGTTTCATTCTTGTCACACTGCTCTGATTAAGATGAATGAAAACTGGCTTTAAAATATTAACAAAAACCTACTCTGTGGCTCGCTGTTTGTCGATTTCAGAAAAGCCTTTGATTCTATTGATCACACCATACTTCTTAAAAAACTAATTCCATACAAATTCCACGACTTTACAGTTAGGCTACTTCACTCCTTTTTATCTAACCGATCTCAACGCGTGTTTCACCTCAATACCATCTCTTCACAGAAATATGTTAATATAGGGGTTCCACAGGGCTCAATCTTAGGTCCTTTACTTTTTTCTTTATACATTAATGATCTTCCATTACATATTGACGCTGGTCAGTGCGAGATGTTCGCTGATGATACTTCTTTGCATGTCTTTGCAGACAGTGCTGAGTCACTCAGTTACAAACTTCAAACATGTGCCAATCAGCTTGCTACTTGGACAAAATTTAACAAAATGAAACTTCACCCCGATAAAACCAAGTCAATGTTTATTACAACTCATCAGAAACGCCTTCGTCTTCCATCCACCGCATTAAACATTACTATAGACAATTCAAACATTGAACAGGTAGACAGTTACAAATGCCTAGGATTGTTTATAGATCACAACCTCACTTGGTCTGACCATATTCATTTTCTAAGAATGTCCTTATTAAAGACAACCTTTCAATTAGCAAGGATAAAGAACTTTCTCAACTATAGGAGCAGGCTGGTTTTTTATGAGGCTTTTATTCAATCCAGGTTGGATTATGCTTCTGTAGTGTGGAGCGGCAGCTTTATATCTAAGCAGCGTCCTCTTCTTTCTTTACAAAAAAGGGCTATAAAACTGGTTACTGGCTTGTCTAGTAGTCTGGATTCTTTTCTTACTACTAAAATACTTCCATTAAATAAAAAGATAATATATACTAAATCAATTTTCTTATATAAAATATTCCACGAAACAGCCCCCTCTTACTTATCAGATCTATTTTCTTTTAACATAAAATTAAATCGTCGTCTTAATTTACCATTCCCTTATTCAACCTTTTTCCAAAAACATAGCTTCGCCTACTCTGGTTCTAATTTGTGGAACAATCTTCCTAATAAAATAAAGCTATCTAGATCTGAAAATATATTCAAATCTAAACTAAAACTAAAATTATTTAATGACCTAACTGACTCATTGTAACATTTCTCATTCATCTATTATATTCTCTTTTTTATCTCATTATGTATGATAGCTATGTACCATTGTTTCTTTATTCCACGTTTTCAGTGCTATGTGTTACTGCTATGTGTTATTGAATTGCTTTATTTGTTAAACGGCCAATGTGAAAAAAGGCCTTTGAGCCTACAATTGTAACCGTTGTTTGAATAAATTTGAATAAATTTGAATAAATTTGAACCCTAACTGAACATCTTTAACTAAAGACTTCGAAGCAAGAACCCAACAAAGATCTTGAAATAGATGCGTGTTTGTAAGAAACCTGCTATTATGGTAATGTGACTCCCTGTAGAGAAGGACTGGCTCAGTCAGCCATTATGTATACAGATAAACTGGGCTTTGAAAAAAAAACGTCTGTCTTGGCAAAATAAGCACGCCAAATAGTCTTCACTGAATAGTTTAAGCTAGGATTTAAAGCGTGTGTTAAATAGTTTAAAGAAAGGACTTTAACGTGTATAAAATAGTTTAAGGAAAGGACTTTAAGTTTGAAATAGGGTTTTATATCTAAGATATACAAATGGAACAAATAAATAAACGATATCACAATGCTATGGGATCCTCGATCTATAAGCTTTTGTGTGGTGTGAGGAGTTTTGTCCCTTGGTCCAGATTTATGAACAACTTAGCACGGTCTGATGTTCTGGGTTGTTTCTAGTTTTTGGCTCACCTATAAATAGTCTACATAATTAGTGCCAGAACCGTCTTGTTCTAGCACGGCCTGGCCAATGTACGGATATCGTCTGGAGAAATCAAGCGTAAGATTTACTTCATGTGTGTCGGATCTGACGATATGTGTTGTCATCAGGATTCTATCATATGTGTGTTACAGTTTAGTTGGATGATCCTGAACGATGACACCGTGAGTAAATGAATGCTGTTGGTGTGTATGTTACATCAAGTGCGAACATTAATCTGTGTGAGACTTCATACTTTTTCATTCAGACAAGTGGGTTGGGTTTTGTTCAGTCAGACTTTCTTTTTCTTCTTCTTCTTCTTCGTTCTTAATTCAGTCAGACAACACACGTCATAGATGAAGAGGGGAGGGGGGAGGGGGGTGACATAGTTTGACTGGGAGTGGGAGGCTTGGGAGAGTTGCAATGTGTGGGAGAGTGTGGTACAATGTGTGGGAGAGTGTGAGACAATGTGTGGGACAATGTGTGGGAGAGTGAGGGACAATGTGTGGGAGAGTGTGAGACAATGTGTGGGACAATGTGTGGGAGAGTGTGTGGGTGAGTGTGGGACAATGTGTGGGAGAGTGTGGGACAATGTGTGGGAGAGTGTGGGACAATGTGTGGGAGAGTGTTGGACAATGTGTGGGAGAGTGTGGGACAATGTGTGGGAGAGTGTGGGACAATGTGTGGGAGAGTGTGGGACAATGTGTGGGAGAGTGTGGGGGGAGTGTGGGACAATGTGTGGGAGAGTGTGGGACAATGTGTGGGAGAGTGTGTGACAATGTGTGGGAGAGTGTGTGACAATGTGTGGGAGAGTGTGGGACAATGTGTGGGAGAGTGAAGACAATGTGTGGGAGAGTGTGTGACAATGTGTGGGAGAGTGTGGGACAATGTGTGGGAGAGTGTGGGACAATGTGTGGGTAGTCCATCAAAACCTGTCATGGAAATTATTTAGTTCGCCAAACAACAAACTAATTTTATTTTAGAATGGTCTGCAACGGTGTACGTATTGTCCACCTATCTACTACCCATTATAACAACATCCATCTACTACCCATCATAACACCATCTCTCTTCTCTACCATCATACCGTATTCTCAATCACCCAATCAAATTTAACTTCTATTCAGATTCCAATTTCTTGGATCACTAGTCCAAGTACTTGATTGGTGAATAGCAGCCCACCCCCCCCACACACACACACATTCATAGAGACACACAGGTGGGGGTACCAAAAAATCGACTTTAGTGGACGCCCCTTAGCTTAGGACAAGGGGGGCCGGGAATTTACATCTAAAAGACGTCCACATATTGGATCCGTAAAATTGCTCGTATCTCAATTTGCTCGTATCTCAAAGCATCTTTTTCTCCCTTGAAATTTAATTGATTGAAATGTCATTAATCCGTTCCAGCCCCCAAAAGGCTATCCTAATTGTTTTTATACGTGTTATTTAAAATAAGAAAAGGATAAATTGGCTATTGTTTGATAACATACTATAGTATAATGCAAAGAAATAAACTGGTTTTATAAAGTGTATTTAGCTTAAAAATCAGCTGACGGAAGATGCTGATGTAGTGTGGGGAATAAGTTTTTTTGCACATTTTATATGGTATCAGTACCAAGGGAGATAACCAATTATATATTTTTTTTAATTATTGTCACTGATTGCATCCCTTGTTTTCTTTGCACTTCCTAATTTCAAAATTGAGGAATCTACTATCAAACTCCACTGACTGACTACAAACTTACTAACTACCCTACTGACTGGTTCATTTATTCACTCTGCTGATTGACTAATTGACCTACTGACATAATTATTCCCTGTATTCGCAACAATAATTAATGTACTAAAGTTAGCAAAGAACATTAACGAACTAGAATAAACGGGAGGACAGATGTTGTTTTATAAATGTCGTATGTTTTTATTTTAAATTTTATTTTTAATTCTAGGGTCGGGAGTAGCTACAGTTGCGTTGGTCTATGGGGCGGGGCTAGCTACAGTTGCGTTGGTCTATGGGGCGGGGCTAGCTACAGTTGCGTTGGTCTATGGGGCGGGGCTAGCTACAGTTGTGAGGACCGTAGGGGCGGGGCTAGCTACAGTTGTGTTGGTCTATGGGGCGGGGCTAGCAACAGTTGTGAGGACCCTAGGGGCGGGGCTAGCTACAGATGAATTGGTCTATGGGGCGGGGCTTACCATAGTTGTGTTGATTGTTGGGGTGGGGCTAGCTACAGTTGTTTTTGTCCCGAGGGGGTGGTGTTGGGATGGGCAAGACACTGCCGTAGTAAATAGTCTTGTGGTTGAACACATTGATCACATTCCCCATGATATCTAAACTTTTCCCATTGTCGTCCCGGAGTTCATAAACTTCCTTCCTGTATTCGATTCTCTGTGACCGGGGCAGAAGTTTGCGTTGCGGTACGATTCTCTTCATGCTCGGGCTGCGCCGGCGTTGCCCAAGTTTTGTTGACGTCACTTTCCCGCCGTCCCCGCGGTCTTCGGCTACTTCCGGTTTCCCGTCCAGTCGTGCGGACCAGGGGCTGATGTCGTTTTTCACCTTGGTGCCCGCGTCTGCCCGTGGCCTGATGCCACTGGTGTCGGACAAAGTCGTCAGGGGCATGTTCATGTCTGCTGCGGACACCATGTGGGGCGTGAGGGAGCGCGTCCCCTCGATCATGTTAACCAGTTCCGTCTCCATACCCTCCGTCTCTACCTCGCCGGGCGTCGTCGTCTCTGCTAAATTCTGTTTTGTTTTTGTTTTTTCTTTAGAGCCGTTTCTTCTCAAAACTTTTTTCTTCCCAACCAGACATCTCCCACCGGGCATGCTCTGAACCTGGGTCGCCTTGGACTCACTCGTCACTTCCGGGTTGTCCGAGTCGTTGCCGCTCACTGGACGGCCGGCAGACGACCTTAACCGGACATTTTTCCCGTTTTTTGACGGTGGGATGCAGCTCGCAGACAGACATGTCTTCTGGGCGGAGTCGACTCTCTTGTGGGCCACGCCCCCCTGGAGATGTTCCGTCACCAGTTTCTTCAGCTTGATCTTGTTCTCCCGCTGCCGGAGCAGGCGCTTGTGTTTCTTGGTGAGCAGCGCAGCTTTTCGGTTGAGCGATAGGTAGACCAGCCCTATCTTGTGGTCGAGAGAGATGAGCTGCAGGTCCCTGAGTCTGGTCGTGACCATCACCCTGCTGATCTCGCTCGCCATCCGCTCCAGAAGCTTCAGTGACGAGACGAACAGCTCGTCCTGCAGGTCGGGGTTCTTGATGGACTGGAGTTTTAAATTCTGCAGGTCAGTTTCCAGAGCTGACTTGCTGGTCAAGCTGACCTCGGCCGGGTTCGTCCAGCCGGTGATGGGCGGCTCCACCCAGGGGCGGCACCGGACCAGCAGGGACTCGACCTCCGCCGTGATCCGCCGCAGGGTGTCGCTCCACAGGTCGACGCACGCCTCCTGAAACACGTCGATCCCGGCCACCACCGTCTTGATGGTCTTGAAGAGATCCTCGTTAAAGCACACGACGGGCAGGTCGGCGTTGTGCACGAAGTCTTGGACCGTCTGGTTGCCATGGTTACTGACCAGCGCCAGGTTGGTGTCCAGCTTCTCCTCCTCCTTTTTCAGCCTGGTGTATTTCTTGTAGGCGGTCATTGACCTCGCTGACCTCTCCTCCTCCCCCTTGTGTAAGGGTTTTAGTTGCTCGTACAAGATATCGATACAGCTAAAGATGCTAGCAAGTATCGATTCTTGAAAGGCGCACATCTCGCGACGTAGAAGATCGCCCACGACAGGGTATCGGTCGCTTCTCATCTTCTCCAAGTACTCGTCGCATGCCTCCAGGGTGTTCTCTACGTCTTCGATCTCATAGGACAGCAGCGCCGTGCTCTAGGACAATAAGAGGACATGTTACATCAGCGTGGTGCTCTAGGACAATAAGAGGACATGCTACATCAGCGTGGTGCTATAGGACAATAGGAGGACATGCTACATCAGCGTGGTGCTATAGGACAATAGGAGGACATGCTACATCAGCGCGGTGCTCTAGGACAATAAGAGGACATGTTACATCGGCGTGGTGCTCTAGGACAATAAGAGGACATGTTACATCAGTGTGGTGCTATAGGACAATAAGAGGACATGTTACAACAGCGCCGTGCTCTAGGACAATAAGAGGACATGTTACAACAGCGTGGTGCTATAGGACAATAAGAGGACATGTTACAACAGCGCCGTGCTCTAGGACAATAAGAGGACATGTTACATTAGCGTGGTGCTCTAGGACAATAAGAGGACATGTTACAACAGCGTGGTGCTATAGGACAATAAGAGGACATGCTACATCAGCGTGGTGCTATAGGACAATAGGAGGACATGCTACATCAGCGTGGTGCTCTAGGACAATAAGAGGACATGTTACATCGGCGTGGTGCTCTAGGACAATAAGAGGACATGTTACATCAGTGTGGTGCTATAGGACAATAAGAGGACATGTTACATCAGCGAGGTGCTACAGGACAATAGGAGGACACAAGTTACATCAGCGTAGAGCTCTAGGACAATAGGAGGACACATGTCACAGCAGCACCAAGTCAACACACACAGACACACCACGTCATCAAACCAAGTCACTACTCACCCAGTCACCACACACACCAAATCACCGCACACCAAGTCACCACAATCAAGTCACCGCAACCAAGTCACCACACACACCAAATCACCACAACCAAGTCACTACACACCCAGTCACCACACACACCAAATCACCACACACTCCAAGTCACCATACACTGTACACACACCAAGTCACCACACACCAAATAACCACACACCAAGTCACCACACACCAAGTCACCATACACTAAACACTCCAATTCACCACACACCAAGTCACCATACACTATACACACACCAAGTCACCATACACTATACACACACCAAGTCACCATACACTATACACACACCAAGTCACCATACACTATACACACACCAATTCACCACACACCAAGTCACCCCACACGAATACACTACGCATCAATTAACTACACATCAAGTCACTAGACATCATGACACTACTAACCTGTGGATCTAAACGTTTGCTTAAATTTCGACTGAGCATCTTCCATTCACCACACACCATGTCACCACACCAGGTCACCACACACACCACGTCACCACACTAAATCACCACACACACCAAATCACCACACTCACTGTCACCACACACACCACGTCACCATACACCAAATCACCACACACACCAAGTCACCCCACACCAATACACTACGCATCAATTAACTACACTAGACACCATGACACCACTAACCTGTGACGTGACATGTTACCTTACGAAGTGACGTGACATCTTAGCTAACGAAGTGACGTGACAGCTTATCTTACGGACTGACGTGCCATCTTACCTAACGAAGTGACGTGACATCTTACCTTACGGAGTGACGTGACATCTTACCTTATGGAGTGACGTGACATCTTACCTAACGAAGTGACGTGACATGTTACCTTACGAAGTGACGTGACATCTTACCTAACGAAGTGACGTGACAGCTTATCTTACGGAGTGACGTGACATCTTACCTTATGGAGTGACGTGACATCTTACCTAACGAAGTGACGTGACATCTTACCTTACGAAGTGACGTGACAGCTTACCTTACGGAATGACGTGACATCTTACCTTACGAAGTGACGTGACATATTACCTTACGAAGTGACGTGACAGCTTACCTTACGGAATGACGTGACAGCTTACCTTACGGACTGACGTGACATCTTACCTAACGAAGTGACGTGACATCTTACCTAACGAAGTGACGTGACATCTTACCTTACGAAGTGACGTGACATCTTACCTAACGAAGTGACGTGACATCTAACCTTATAAATTGACGTGACATCTTACCTTACGAAATGACGTGACATCTTACCTTACGGAGTGACGTGACATCTTACCTTACGGAGTGACGTGACATCTTACCTTACGAAGTGACGTGACATCTTACCTTACGAAGTGACGTGACATCTTACCTTACGAAGTGACGTGACATCTAACCTTATGAATTGACGTGACATCTTACCTTACGTAGTGACGTGACATCTTACCTTACGAAGTGACGTGACATCTTACCTTACGGAGTGACGTGACATCTTACCTTACGGAGTGACGTGACATCTTACCTTACGAAGTGACGTGACATCTTACCTTACCGAGTGACGTGATATCTTACCTTACGGAGTGACGTGACATCGTACCTTACGAAGTGACGTGACATCTTACCTTACGAAGTGACGTGACATCTTACCTTACGAAGTGACGTGACATCTTACCTTACGGAGTGACGTGACATCTTACCTTACGGAGTGACGTGATCCGCCGCTCCCTGTCCCTTAGTGACTTGGAAAGCGCCTGCATATGCTCCAACAGCTGGGAAATCTCCGTGCACGGGTTGTTGATGGACGGGTTGTTCATGACCGGGTTGTTGATGCACGGTTTGTTCATGACCGGGTTGACCATGACCGGGTTGTTGATGCATGAGTTGTTCATACACGGGTTGCCCAGGCTCGGGTTGCACACACACGTGCTGGTCGAGTCAACCACACAATGACTGGCGACGTCCCCCTCACCCCCACACGACTGGGTTGCCTCCCTTAGCATGTTCCCCTTGTGCTGGCGCCTCAGGACATACTTGACAGGGAGACAACTGGGTATTTTATTATTCTGGTCAAGTAAAGCCCTGTTACTTCCCCTGGCCTGAGACATTTGACTGGAGAAGTAGTCGTTGATCACAAAAACTTGTTTTTGAAGTTCTGAAATAAAGAAAAACAAATATGGTAAACTTTTTATTTTTATAATAAATGTGAGAGAAAGTTGTCTCACTTTACATCTAATTTAACCCGTTAAAACACTAAATAAACTGGACCTGTCAAAATCGTTTTTTAGTTGTTGTTTTTTTTTTAATTGATATGTCCTTGCAACCAACCAGTACATATAAAATATTTGTAAAAAATTTTTTATAAAAGCGTGTCAATGTTGATATGTAATTGTTAACTGTTAAATCTGTTTGGAAATATAAACATTAAATATAAAGATATCATTATAAGTACTTTGACTTGAGGCTTACACCTGAGGTAATTCTGTCATGTAAACCTAATCTACCAGATGGCTCACCTTTGGCTTCCTGTACTCTCAGTACCGTCATGTAAACCTGTCCTATGGCTCACCTTTTGCCTCCTGTACTCTCAGTACCGTCATGTAAACCTGTCCGATGGCTCACCTTTTGCCTCCTGTACTCTCAGTGCCGTGGTGGAACTGATTTGTTTAAACTTGTCGTCCCCAAACAATTGGGTCATGCCAGCCTTAGGGTCCCTCAGCCACACCTGAAATACATGCTGTGTCTTAAAGACGTGAGGAAACAATGGCACCTCTATTGGACAACAACGTCATGTGCGTAACGTGTGGTGCCATGAATTGGTGTGTTCTTGTTGCTATGATCTGGGCGCATTTCTTTATCGGGAGTATGGCTAAGGTAAGATTACATTACTTATATATTTACTTATATATGTAAATATATATATATATATATATATATATATATATATATATATATATATATATATATATATATATATATATATATATATATATATATATATATGCCCTAAACAGAGGCGTAGCGACCCTTCCCGGCGCCCGGGGACAAACTTTTCGATTTGCACCCCCCCCCCTTCGAGATTTCGATTTGCACCCCCCTCAAACTTTCGATTTGCACCCCCCTCAACCTTTCAATTTATTTATCCAACCCATTTTGGCGCCACCTAAGCTCGGCGCCCGGGGACATATGTCCCCCCCCCCCCCCCGCCCCCCCCCTCGCTACGCTACTGGCCCTATATATATATATATATATATATATATATATATATATATATATATATATATATATATATATATATATATATATATATATATATATATATATATATATATATATATATATATATATATATATTTATTTATTTATTTATTTATTTATTTATTTATTTCTTTCTTTCTTTCTTTCTTTCTTTCTTTCTTTCTTTCTTTCTTTCTTTCTTTCTTTCTTTCTTTCTTTCTTTCTTTATTTATTTATTTATTTATTTATTTATTTATTTATTTATTTATTTATTTATTTATTTATTTATTTATTTATTTATTTATTTATTTATTTATTTATTTATTTATTTATTTATTTATTTATTTATTTATTTATTTATTTATTTATTTATTTATTTATTTATTTATTTATTTATTTATTTATTTATTTATTTATTTATTTATTTATTTATTTATTTATTTATTTATTTATTTATTTATTTATTTATTTATTTATTTATTTATTTATTTATTTATTTATTTATTTATTTATTTATTTATTTATTTATTTATTTATTTATTTATTTATTTATTTATTTATTTATTTATTTATTTATTTATTTATTTATTTATTTATTTATTTATTTATTTATTTATTTATTTATTTATTTATTTATTTATTTATTTATTTATTTATTTATTTATTTATTTATTTATTTATTTATTTATTTATTTATTTATTTATTTATTTATTTATTTATTTATTTATTTATTTATTTATTTATTTATTTATTTATTTATTTATTTATTTATTTATTTATTTATTTATTTATTTATTTATTTATTTATTTATTTATTTATTTATTTATTTATTTATTTATTTATTTATTTATTTATTTATGTATATGTATACTTGCGTATGAAGACAATAGCAATATAAACACTGGTATAGAGTAAAAACGCACCTGTCACCTACCCGAATGTCATCCAAGAACAACGAGATGGAATCAGACTCCGCCTCCTTACGTTCCAGGAACATGCCCCGAAAGTCGTTCAGCAGGAACTCGAACTGGGATCGTATGTTGGCGTCATCCACTAAACGTAGGGCGTTGAATACCTGTAGAGTCATGTACTGGGTTAGAGATTACACGAAAGACAACGTAATGTGTTGTGTTTAAATACACTAGAGCTCTATGCTACTGACCAACTGATAATTAGGGTGTGGATATTTTCCATGGTTCACACATGAGTTATAGTATTTGTTATTGTTATATTGGTGGGTTTTTTGTGTCAACAGCTGGTAGCCTAGAAATTTTTACAATAACTGGTGTTACCTCAGGTAAGATAAAGTTAAACTTGGACTGGTAGTTAATACCTCAGGTAAAATAAAGGACGTCGGTTACCTCAGGTAAAATAAAGGACGTCGGTTACCTCAGGTAAAATAAAGTTAAACTTGGACTGGATGTTAATTACCTCAGGTAAAATAAAGTTAAACTTGGACTGGATGTTAATTACCTCAGGTAAAATAAAGTTAAACTTGGACTGGATGTTAATTACCTCAGGTAAAATAAAGTTAAACTTGGACTGGATGTTAATTACCTCAGGATAAAATAAAGTTAAACTTGGACTGGATGAAGGTTACCTCAGGTAAAATAAAGTTAAACTTGGACTGGATGAAGGTTACCTCAGGTAAAATAAAGTTAAACTTGGACTGGATGTTAACTACCTCAGGTAAAATAAAGTTAAACTTGGACTGGACGAAGGTTACCTCAGGTAAAATAAAGTTAAACTTGGACTGGACGAAGGTTACCTCAGGTAAAATAAAGTTAAACTTGGACTGGATGAAGGTTACCTCAGGTAAAATAAAGTTAAACTTGGACTGGATGTTAATTACCTCAGGTAAAATAAAGTTAAACTTGGGCTGAAGGTATTCCAGGTCCAGGGAATGTTTCCAGGCCACCATTTCTGGAAGTCTGTCCGATGTATCCACGGTACTGGGGGTGGGGGACAGAATCTCATCCACCGACTGGACCATACCGGCAAACTGACCCTCGTCCGTCTGACTTCCGGTCAGCTGGGGGTGCTCGGGTGCTGGGGTGTAGTAATGTTCCTGCTGGCTGCGTTTGTCTATCGTCTGTTGGTAGGTTAGTTTAATTAGGTTAATTAGGTCTAGTTACACTCATTACCGCGTCATTAGTGAATCGAATAAATCATGCAGACTTAGAGAATCGAACACTTCATCACGACATACGAACAACTCAAGTTAAATCCAACACTTCTAGACCTGGATAAACTTGAGAATCAAACATCTCTTGTATAGTACAAGAAAAGTTGTAGTAGAATAGAATGTAGACTAGAGTTACCTCCCCGAATAATGTATGATAGAGTTTAACTAGAGTTACCTCTCCTAAGCATTGGAGAATAGAGTAAACTAGAATTACTTCCCCTAAAACTTGAAGGATAGAATGAAAAGTCGAGTTGCCTTCACTAAGCCTTGTAAAATATAATGTAAACTGTAGTTACCTCCCCTAAGATTTGTAAAATAGAATGTAAACTAGAATAACCTACCCTAAGACTTGAATGTAATCTCGAGTTACCTCCCCTAAAAATTGGAGAACAGAATGTAATCTCGAGTTAGCCCCCCCCCCCCCCCCTAAAAATTGTAGAATAGAATGTAAACTCCAGTTACCTCCCCTAAAAATTGTAGAACAGAATGTAAACTCGAGTTACATCCCCTAAAAATTGTAGAGCTTAATGTAAACTCGAGTTACATCCCCTAAAAATTGTAGAGCTTAATGTAAACTCGAGTTACATCCCCTAAAAATTGTAGCATAGAACTCGAGTTACCTCCTCTAGACTAGAGATGCCGTTCCTGCACTTGTTGATCAACTCCGTGGCTCGCCTGATCTCCTCTAGGACGCTGGTAAACGGCTGATGTCCCACGGCAGGCAATGGCTGCTTCACAGGCGCAGGTGTCGCCTGTCTCACAGGCGCAGGTGCCGCCTGTCTCACGGGCGCAGGTGTCGCCTGTCTCACGTGCGCAGGTGTCCCCTGCTTGACGTGTGCTGTGCTTGACAGTTTGGTATGTCCAGGTTGAGCCAGTTTTCCGGGCGGAGGTCGTGAGTTCCCGTGGCATGGATGATTTTCCATAGGCGCTACATTTGTAAACTCGAGTGTTAATGTTTAAACGTGTTTAATAGCATGATTTGTGGTCGTTTTGTATATTATTTCATTAATTAACACTTAACGCTATTGTTTATCCGTATATACAACAAAACAACACCACGGTTTGAACAATTATTCATATATATATATATACTAGCCGTCCCGGCCAGGCCCTGCTCTGGCTTCTGTGAAAAACCTTTCTGTTAAAGACCATCACCTGTGTGTTTAGTAATCATCATAAACCCGGCATTGCCCACCCAAACCACAACCAACCAAAACCAAAACAACAAAACGCAAACATAACGCTAACACAATTACAAATACAAACGAAAACAAAAACTTACAACAAACCAACCACAGCCACAAACACCAATACGAACACGAAGAAAAAAGCAAACGAAAACAAACCAAATCCAAACACAAAACCAACCAAAAACATAAACACAAACCCAAAGAAAAAACACAAACGAAAAAGCAAACGAAAACAAACCAAATACAAACGCAAAACCAACCACAAACCCAAAGAAAAAAAAACACAAAAGAAAAACAAACGAAAACAAACCAAATCCAAACGCAAAACCAACCTCAAACACAAATACAAACACAAACCCAATGAAAATAAAACACAAACGAAAACGAAAAAAGAAAGAACAAAAACGAACCAAATCAAAACGCAACCACTAACGCAAACCCAACCTAAACACAAAGAAAACACTAACGCGAATATAAACGCAAAGTGCTCACGGGGCTGAATCGCCTACTTCAACTTAATAAACGACTATAGTACCCCAACTTATTCATAGTCTTTTGCACTCACTTTAATGAACGTAGGCGCGAAACCGAACACGGGAGGCCCGGGACCCCAAAAAGCACCCTGTCTGGGCGCCAGAGGACGCACCATGACGTCACCGCCTGATTGAACTTAGTAAACGCCTATAGTGCATAACTTATTTATAGTCTTTTGAACTCACGCGAACGTAGATACCATAGCGTACACCGGAAGGCCCGGGGCGCCAAATAGCACCCTGTCGGGGTGCCGGAGGACGCCCGGATTTGATTCACTTAAAGACTATAGTAACCTTTCTTATCCATAGTCTATCGCACTGTTTAAAACAAAATTATGCAGCATAGCGCTCACATGATAGCCCAGGGTGCCAAATCAAACCGTGCAGGGGCGCCGGCGGACGCGCCTGTTTCAATTTAGTGAACAAAAATGATAATACTCCAAGCTTATCCGTAAATGGAAAGAAATAAACGTATCTGATTTGTAGGACCTGGCTTATTAAATGTTATTGATTTTTAAAAAAAAATAATAATTATTGAACAGTATGTTCAGTGTATAGAATAAATAAAAGGCAGTGTTAAAAATACCTAACGACATTGCACTTAATCAATCCCCGCTAATTGTGTAATTATTTTTTTTTTCTTAACACCAAAAACAAAGTAATAAAATGTTAATTCTCTCTTCTTAAGGATTTATTTTTCATTAAAGGGAAGTAACTTTGCAGTCAATACATTTCCGACACAATTTTAGAAATTTTATAAACGTCGATACACTTTTTAAAAATTTTATGTCGCGTTCATAATTGAAAATTATTCTTCTAAGTAAATGGAATGAAAATTGTTTTTAAAGACTTTCAATGGTAATTTTTCGACTCGTAAATTTAGACTTTGAGCACGATAAAAAATCTAACACTTAAATCCGTAGAACTGTCAACGACAAACTTTTTTTTGCCACACGTTACAGAACTGAGCTTTGTATATTAGATATATATATATATATATATATATATATATATATATATATATATATATATATATATATATATATATATATATATATATATATTATCTGAATGTCTCGAGATATTCACATCTGCTAAATTTGTGGAATTTTAAAATTGTGAATGAAGTAGAACGAATGCACTTTACAAAATGTACAAACATGCCGTATTACTTGGCATAATAAAAACACTAATGAAAGCTATTACTAGTAAATTATATTTAATATGTTTTCGTTAACACACACACACACACACACACACACACACACACAAAATCTGGTCTATTTTTTAGATTGTTATAAAAAATCTTGTTTACACTCCAACTAATAAAAGACGAATATGGACGGCCATTTTAGCATACAGCTAAATGTATCGTTTAATTTCACTTTAACATCAAGTTCAAGCTATAGGTGCTACCATAGACACCAGTGGTTAAGGGTTGTCGTAGAAAAACAGCTGATTCTGTTAACTCTAGGCTTTAATAAAATAACATCTATCTGAAATGTTTGATATATCGTTGACCAACTAAACGATGGGAACTAATACTATTCATTTTAAAATTAGAGAAGTTTATTGTTGTGAGTAGCTGTTAATGTTATTTGGTCAATTCAAATCTACTAACAACAAGACCCTATTATTCAATAATTCTGTATTCGGTTTTTGTTTTAACTTGTAGCGTGTGATGAATTGTGGCCGCCTACTTGATTAATAATTAAGTACTTTACTAAGGGAAGTGACTCCACTCATACACAATTCATAAGTTCCGTTTTAGTGTATTAGACGGTGGTGGGGGGAGCGGGAGGGGTCTGCTAGGTTAGGACACAAATAATCAGCAATTTCTTGTAATGCTTGTGTTTTTTTTCTGCGTGTTTTTTTAGTAACTGTGGTGTAAGGTAATTTTGAGTGTCTTTAGTATACCCGCACTATAAAACATTTAAGTGGTTTGATAATTTGTTCGAATCCAAATCACCACACACCAAGTCACCACGCACCACTTCAAAACACACACACACACACCACGTCATCAAACCAAGTCACTACACACCCAGTCACCACACACACCAAATCACCACACACCAAATCACCACACACCAAGTCACCACACACACCAAGTCACCACACACACCAAGTCACCATACACTGTACACACACCAAGTCACCACACACCAAGTCACCACACACACCAAGTCACCACACACACTAAGTCACCACACACACCAAGTCACCATACACACCAAGTCACCACACACACCAAGTCACCACACACACCAAGTCACCACACACCAAGTCACCACACACACCAAGTCACCATACACTGTACACACACCAAGTCACCACACACCAAGTCACTACACACACCAAGTCACCATACACTGTACACACACCAAGTCACCACACACCAAGTCACCACACACCAAGTCACCACACACACCAAGTCACCACACACACCAAGTCACCATACACTGTACACACACCAAGTCACCACACACCAAGTCACCACAAACCAAGTCACCACACACACTAAGTCACCACACACACCAAGTCACCATACACTGTACACACACCAAGTCACCACACACACCAAGTCACCACACACCAAGTCACTACACACACCAAGTCACCATACACTGTACACACACCAAGTCACCACACACCAAGTCACCACACACACCAAGTCACCACACACACCAAGTCACCATACACTGTACACACACCAAGTCACCACACACACCAAGTCACCACACACCAAGTCACTACACACACCAAGTCACCATACACTGTACACACACCAAGTCACCACACACCAAGTCACTACACACCAAGTCACCACACACACCAAGTCACCATACACTGTACACACACCAAGTCACCACACACCAAGTCACTACACACCAAGTCACCACACACACCAAGTCACCACACACCAAGTCACCACACACCAAGTCACTACACACCAAATCACCACACACCCAGTCACTACACACACCAAGTCACCATACACTGTACACACACCAAGTCACCACACACCAAGTCACTACACACCAAGTCACCACACACACCAAGTCACCACACACCAAGTCACCACACACACCAAGTCACCATACACTGTACACACACCAAGTCACCACACACCAAGTCACCACACACACCAAGTCACCATACACTGTACACACACCAAGTCACTACACACCAAATCACCACACACACCAAGTCACCATACACTGTACACACACCAAGTCACCACACACACCAAGTCACCACACACACCAAGTCACCACACACACAAAGTCACCATACACTGTACACACACCAAGTCACCACACACCAAGTCACTACACACCAAGTCACCACACACACCAAGTCACCATACACACCAAGTCACCATACACTGTACACACACCAAGTCACCACACACACCAAGTCACCATACACTGTACACACACCAAGTCACCACACACACCAAATCACCACACACACCAAGTCACCATACACTGTACACACACCAAGTCACCACACACACCAAGTCACCACACACCAAGTCACTACACACCAAGTCACCACACACACCAAGTCACCATACACTGTACACACACCAAATCACCACACACACCAAGTCACCATACACTGTACACACACCAAGTCACCACACACCAAGTCACCACACACCAAGTCACTACACACCAAGTCACCACACACACCAAGTCACCATACACTGTACACACACCAAATCACCACACACACCAAGTCACCACACACCAAGTCACCACACACACCAAGTCACCATACACTGTACACACACCAAATCACCACACACACCAAGTCACCATACACTGTACACACACCAAATCACCACACACACCAAGTCACCATACACTGTACACACACCAAGTCACCACACACCAAGTCACCACACACCAAGTCACCACACACCAAGTCACCACACACCAAGTCACCATACACTGTACACACACCAAATCACCACACACACCAAGTCACCATACACTGTACACACACCAAATCACCACACACACCAAGTCACCATACACTGTACACACACCAAGTCACCACACACCAAGTCACTACACACCAAGTCACCACACACACCAAGTCACCATACACTGTACACACACCAAATCACCACACACACCAAGTCACCACACACCAAGTCACCATACACACTAAGTCACTACACACACCAAGTCACCACACACCAAAGCACCACACACCAAGTCACTACACACCAAATCACCACACACCAAATCACCACACACCCAGACACCACACACACCAAGTCACCACACACCAAAGCACCACACACCAAAGCACCACACACCAAGTCACCACATATATCAAATCACCACACACACCAAGTCACCACATATATCAAATCACCACACACACCAAGTCACCCCACACCAATACACCACGCATCAATTAACTACACATCAAGTCACCACACACCTATTCACTACACATCAAGTCACTAGACACCATGACACCACTAACCTGTGGATCTAAACGTTTGCTTAAATTTCGACTGAGCATCTTCCATTCCTATTGCACGTGAACTTACATCATGCGAGTGAGTTATCAGAATGGCGATCGCTCAAAGACTCACAAACTAGCCGCTACATTTTGGCCTAACACAACATACTGATGTTATCTAATACATGTTTACCTTACAGCCTTTCGCCACTAACCACTTCCGTTCACCAGGAGTGGGTATTCCCGCAGTGGTTTATATTGATATGTTGTTCGCAACGCAACCTCACCGCTGTTTGCGCACCAATCTAAATATAGCATCATCGCACAAAAGGGTCGTGGCGCGTCATTTTGCGTGATGCAGATGGGAATAAACATGGAGAGTTTATAACGTGGTGGTAATACAGGTAGGTTTTTTATACCTTGTAAAGCTAATCAGTAAGTTAATCACAAACAGAATTTACCAGAAAAAGGTTTTTAATTTACGTAGTAACATTTAAATATATATGTTTTATTGATAGAAAACTTTTTTTTCAAAAGCTAGCAGTTTAAAACTTTGATCAAGATCTAGCTAGAGTCTAGTTTTATTTTTTGGACTTTGAACTTTTAGTAGACCCAACACTGGGGTGAATGCAACAATAATTCAGTTCGTTGTTGAATTTATTTACATTCGCATTTCATGCAATATCTAAACACACAATTGTATGCACATTCCATTAGATGAGAAATAGGGTGGCATAATTTGATTTATTACCGGTAGAAGAACTTAAATTCTAAAAGCCACTCCTAGAATTAAGGTAGGAGAATAAAAGATAATTTACTGGTTATAATCACATGGTTATTTGATCATCATATTTTCTTGTTAGTGCTCAAGACTTAAGGGGCAGGAGGAGTAGAGTTCTTCTATTTCAATGACTTCAGAAAATAAGGATAGTGTGGTCAGCACTCTGTCCAGCCGCTCTAGTTTTGCTTAACGAGAGTCAGGTACCCATTAAAGCTGGGTGGACTCAGGGAGGTACTGCAGACTCGAGTCTGAGATCCGAACTTCCGACTTACTGGTTAGTATTTGTGTGCTGTACCACCCGACCACGTCACTCCACGAACTGGTTATTTCAGGAAAAAAATAGCTTGACACTGCTTTTAAAAAAAAAAAGAATATGACTTCAAATCGACACTAAATACACAATGCAAGTCTAATGCCAGAGGTGTGCACGATAAACAGATGTTTACCTTCCACAGGACGACAGCAGAAGATGTGAGCGGGAGAGGTGAACAGTTTCCGGCAACTTTCTCCAGGTTCCATCAACATACCTGGCCCACCTGTCTTCTAGTCGTCGGTAAAGTCTGGTCTGTAAAGTTTGGTCTGTAAAGTCTGGTCTGTAAAGTTTGGTCTGTAAAGTTGGTGGAAATGTTTGGTCTGTAAAGTTTGGTGGAAATGTTTGGTCTGTAAAGTTTGGTGAAAATGTTTGGTCTGTAAAGTTTGGTGGAAATGTTTGGTCTGTAAAGTTTGGTGGAAATGTTTGGTCTGTAAAGTTTGGTGGAAATGTTTGGTCTGTAAAGTTTGGTGGAAATGTTTGGTCTGTAAAGTTTGGTGGAAATGTTTGGTCTGTAAAGTTGGTGGAAATGTTTAACTTAAGTAACACTTGCAACAGAAGTTAACTCGCAGATCTAGTCTAAACGTTAAACGACACTTTCGCTTTGGCGTTTGGAGCAGAGTTTCTTCAAGGCTTCTCTTCAATGATAGTTTACCGCTCCACCCCCCCCCCCCCCCGAACGAAATAGAATTTATATAGAAAACATACTTTTACCAGTGTCCGCCCCCCGGAAAATGTTGTCCGCCCCCCCCCCCCCGAAAATATCAAGTGCCTCCCCCCCCCCCCATGGAGGTAAAAGGTCTGGAAGAAACACTGGTTTGGAGGAATAAAATATATTTGACTCTAAAGCACCACCCTCTCTCTCTCTCGCTCGCTCTCTGTATGGTTATATATACATACATATATATATATATATATATATATATATATATATATATATATATATATATATATATATATATATATATATATATATTATATATATATATATATATATATATATATATATATATATATATACCATTTATATATTTATTTTTATTTCTTATTTGTTTTGTTGTTTTTTTCTATTTATTCCTATATTTAGGTGACCTCCACGTTTCAGGCAACACCCCCACCCAGACATGGAGCACCAACACCGCCCCTGCCATCCAGCATCCGACTACAACTTTCAGCACGCACAGTGGATCAGACACAACCCCGGCGTGACCCTGCCCAGACCCTCGTCCCTCCACGAGGCCAAGGCCGGCCCACCCCACCCTGCCATGGTGGTCCCCTGCTCGTGTCAGCAGCCGGTCATCGAGCCGCACGTGCTTGACTCGTGCCAGAGGTGTCTGCCGGTCAACAAGGTCACGTGCCCTGACGCGGCCACCTACGACGGCGACTGCACCAAGTGCTGCAGCTGCTGCAGCCACCAGAAGGAGCGGCCCCTGCCCACGCCACCCCCGGGCTGGAGCTACTGCCCCCCAGAACATAAGGATTATAGAACCTTGATTCGGCCTAAAAACCCTAACGCATCCCCCAGCGATCGACCTGCAGGGTAAGAGTTTGTTGTTGTTATTGTTGTTGTTGTTGTTGTTGTTTTTTAAATCGTAGTGTATGCAAGTACGTCCCACATAAACTTACTAGCACTACTTTACTTGAGTGGAGTTGGTCTAGCGAATCCGGGTTCAAGTCAGTAGACCGTCCCTTAGTTCACCCAACTCTGATTGGTAGGCCTACCTAACTCACGTTAGGGAAAGTAAAGGCGGCTGGGCATAGTGCTGACCACACTATCTGTTCATATACCGAGGTCACAGAAACAAGTGAACTCTACTTCTTTTGCCTTATAGACCGTCAGGTTTGAAAGGGAACTTTACTTTTTACTTTACTTGAGGGAGCGTGTGGTCGAATAGTAGAGCATTCGGCTGCTAACCCGAATGTCCGGATCCCGTCAAGTCTCAGCGACGTCCCTGTGTCAACCCAGCTCTGATGGGTACCCGACTCACGTTAGGGAAAGTAAATGAGACTGAGCATAGTGCTGACCACTATGTCGAGGTCTCTGAAACAGATTAACTCTACTTTACCTGCCACGTGAATCTTGAGGTTCTAAAGGGTTCTTTACTTACTATTACTTGACTTAAATTAGAAATGTTCCAACATACCATCCTATAGAAACCTATCTATTAAATCTTCGCACCTAATCATTATAACATTTTGATTACTAATTGCGTGCATTAGAATAACCAAACTAATGAACCTGAAAAGAATAATGTAATTAAGATGAAAACAAAGTATTTGAAAGTTGATAAAACGTCACCAAACCAAGCACACACACACGCACATACGCACGCACACGCACTCACATACATACACGCGCACACACGCACACATACTCTTACTCGCACGCACGCACGCACACACACAGGCATACACACACATACACACTCGCACACACACGCGCAAATACACGCGCACACACACACACACACGCACGCATACCCACGCGCACAAACGCACACACACAGAGGCATACACACCATACACACACGCACACACACGCATACACATGCGCGCACACACGCATATACGCGCGCACACACGCACACATACAGGCATACACGCGCACACACACACGCACACACACACTCGGCTGTATCTGTGCGAATAACCTCTTCATATCTCCTCCAGCACGCCCTACTTTGCTCAAGAATCCAAGTCAAGCTGTCCACCTGCCCAGGCACCTGTAGCTAAGAAAGGTGGATTTAACTTTGATGACTGGCAAGTTGGGTTTCAATCTTTCAGTTTTAGATACTCTATAATAGCATGTCCTTGAGTTTAGATACTCTATAATAACATATCCTTGAGTTTATATGCTTTATAACAAAATATCCTGGAGTTTAGATACGCTATTTATACCCTCTTGTTTAGATACTCTATTGTAACATACACTTGAGTTTAGATACGTTTAGTTAACGTTTTATGTTTTTCATGTGGACTTTTAGTGTTTCTCTTGTGTTTATATGATCGTGTCACTTTGCTTATATTTATGTGATTGTGTTGATGTGATTGCTGTGTTGATATGATTGTGCTGATATGATTGTGTCACTTTGCTTATATGTATGTGTGTGTCGATATGATTGTGCTGATATGATTGTGTCACTATGCTTATATTTATGTGTGTGTGTTGATATGATTGTGCTGATATGATTGTGATGATACGATTGCGTTCATATGATTGTTTCGATACGATTGTGTTGATCCAGGATGCAGGTGTACAACCCCATAACTGTGCCGGACAACATGGAGGGCCACTGTATCCCCTCGCTGTGCACCTGGTGTGCCCCCGCCTACGTCGACTGCTGTCCCCATTACAAACACCCCAACATGTACACCATAGTCAAACAAGGGTTACCTCCCTTCTGAGTTGAGTCATCTCCCTTTGATGATCCATGAAGAAGACACAAGAATGATTGTATGCATCACAAGAGCAGTTACGACATTAAAAAAAAAACTTAGTGAACTTTCAATCGGGTAGTAAAGGGAAGTAATATTCATAAAAGCCATAGCATGTGAATCTCTACTTGTCTCGCTTTGAATTGTATTTTTTACCTTTTTCAAGTTGATTCAAGAAATTTTATTTTTAAAATTGGAGCTTTTTTGTTTAAGATTTTGTTTTTATGAAAATCAGTTCAGAATATTACATTATTGGTTTCAATGTGAGGGTTCTAGCAAACTGTCCGGACCGCTACAAATATCCTGGCAGATACATCTATCCTAGCAGATACAACTATCCTAGCAGATACAACTATCCTGGCAGATACGATCTGCTAATACATGTTTTCTCTCCTATATGGGCTGCTGTCCCCAGCTGTTGAGTCTCATTTGCCTATATCTAAGTACTAGGGGTCAGTGTGGTCGGGTCGGTAACAAAACAACTTCACTGCCTATACATATAGGACGCACGTGAATAAGTTTGGATCGCTCCTCGTTCTCTAATTTCCAAGGAAATGATCTCATGGTGTCTAGAACTCCTGAGTTCTCTCCCTTATCCATTTAAACATACGATAGTTATTTCCCTTTGTCTCCGCGGCGCACTGGACTCGAAATAAAGCGGGGGGGGGGGGGTCCTAAATTCCATTAAACCAGGCTAGAGTAATCTACATGGCAAGGCAATCTCCATTCCGTAAATCCTCTCCGTCCATGGGATTATGTAATACTTCCTCGTCCATCGGGATCATTTAATACCCCACCCTCGTCACATCGGATAAATCTGAGTCTATATGTGTCTTCATCTCATTCATTCATTCACCCCCCCCCCCCTTTCTGTAGCGCCAATAGAAGTTAGTGTAATGATTTCCTAGAAATTGGGCAGACACAAAAAATTCTTATTGATAAAACAACATTAGCATAAGCGAGTGTTGGGGTCTGAATAAATCATATCTCCCCGCGATGGGGCACTCTGGCACCAGATATTGGAGAGATGCAACATCCGGTCCTAACCCAGCCGTTCGTATTTTAAAACACTAACAAAAAAAGGGCTCGGATGATCGGGGTAGATGGGGATATCTCCGTCTAGACAATCAAATATACATGGCGTTGTTGGGGCTTAGGTACAGGAGAATACAGGCTGGAATCGCCTGGATCTCTTGTCATAATACGCTCATATGCTTCGTAAAAATATCAAGTAGCCGGAGTTTTTTTCATGTTCAATTTACATTTTGAAATTGGTTTTATTTTATTTTGATAAAAAAAAAACTTCATACTTTCACTTTTTCAAAAATTCATAGCTAATTTTTTTTTAAGTTATTTTTTTAAATGTTTTAGAAGTTGTAGGTTTTGTGGACGTTGTTTTCTTGCTGATTATTTAAATAACTTTTTGAGGTTTGGAATTTTTTAAAGTTCCTAATTGGCAAAAAATTATCTTAAGCTCATCATACGGAAGACCAATCGAATTAAAAGTCGAACGAATTTGTAGGCAATCTATAAAATGTATTCATTTATTTTTGGATACAAGAACGAACATATTTCTTGCAAATTAACGCACAGGTGTGTGAGTAATACCGAGAAGCATTAGTAGGCCTACTTTCTACATCTATCATTATTTTTTTTTAATTAATTAAGCATCTAATTATTTAAAGTTCGTGTCGCTTTGCATTGTCATCGGGTCTTGACCTATATGTCAAGTTCGCTGGAAAAGGTGTCAAAGCTTGTAAAAAATAAATTATTTTATGCACTAAAAAATTTTAAAAGAATTATTATCTTTAAATATATAATGATTTATATTACTATAAAGAAATCGTGTGTTGTTCATACAAATTTTACTAGGGTGTACCTAATTCATAATATAGCGATACAAGCTTTTGTTGAAAGTTATAAATAGTAACGCTTTATTAAAAATTTTCTTCTTTTCATTGCATAATAAAAACTTTTATAATAACAAGTTTTTATTTATATTTTTACTTTCTCGTATATACGAAGTATAGAGAAAGTCACTGATACGGAAAAACATAATTTTGTAATTTTGTCCGTATGTCTGTGTGTATGTCTGTGTGTCTGTAAACACGGTAACTTGAGTACCGTTACAGCTAGGTTGATGAAATTTCATATATAAGTATCTTATCAAAATCGTAGATCCGTGTCAACTTTTGAGTGATTTCTGATAACCGGAAGTGGTACTTTTTTACTTTGAATTTTTCAAAAGACTATAACTTGAGTACTATTTCAGATAGATAAATAAAATTTTGCATGTAAGTAAAAGATCTAATTCTCTACCTTTTTTCAAATTTTGAGTAATTTCCGTTGACTGGAAGTAGTAATTTACGCTATTTCCAATTTCTCAAAAAAACGCATGGAAATTTATAAAGTACTAATAATATTGCGCACTATTATGCACATTTTATTTGGCGTTCACTGGTGCGCAATTCTTTTTTCTACGAGATTTTATTCTATTTTAAAAAGTTTAAGTATTTAAAATGGATTAAAATTCATGTCTATATCCCGAGTTCCCATCCCATGTTTTTTTATATAAGAATATTCGAGAAAGTTTAGTGGAGATCACTCCCGGTTTATTTTACTATATTAAAGACTATTTATGATTATTTTCTTATTTTTATTGCATTTAAAAGCTTATTATTTTAAAGGTTTTAAAACTAGTTATTGTATGTCTTGTAATGTTCGTTTTTTAAGAGTCATTTTTTAGTCCCCCAAATCATGTTGTCAGCTGTAAAATTAATGCTAGGTACCTATATCTGTAAAATTACAGCAAACATTATAAAAAAGTATTACTAAAACGTGAAAAATGACCATAAGTTTTCCTGAAATGGTTTCAATTGCTTTAGTCCAAATATAAAACTGTAGAGTGATGAACTATTCGGGTCAATATATTTTTGTTAAAATAAAGAATCGAAATTAAGCAAGTTGCCAATTTTTCCTGAGCAGAAGTTTTGCTCATTTTCACCTACACAAAATCAAAATCCGAGCGAAAACATAACATTTTATTGCATTAAACGAAATCTAATCAAATCATACTTGAATTCTTTCATTTATTTTGTATACACACCTAAAGCATTCGCCTACTCTACCATTAACACAAATGTCCCCTCAACACACACATATCCCAATTAGCCATTTTTAAAATGGACCCTGAACATCCCACACATTTAAAGGATCTCAACCCCCCCCCCCCCCCCCCAACACAAAAAATGAACCTTTCATCCCCTCACCACAAATGGACCCCGCAACCCCTACACATTATATGGACTACCCCACACATTAAATGAACTCGCACATCCCCACACATTAAATGGACATCACACCCCACACATTAAATGGACATCACACCCCACACATTAAATGAACCCCAAACCCTCAAACATTAAATGAACTCGCACAACCCCACACATAAAATGGACTACCACACCCCACACATTAAATGGACCCCACTTCTCCCACACATTAAATGGACCCCGAAGCCCCTCACACATTAAATAGACACGCCTTCAAACCCCTACTTATAAATGGATGCCCCAACCCCCACACATTAAATGGACCCGCCTTCACACCCCCACACATTAAAGGGATTTATCCACACACACACATACACACACACATTAAATGCATCCACACCAGCCTCACACACCCCCCACATTTAAAGAACCCCCAACCTCACACCCCCACACATTTAAAGGACCCCTACCCTCACACCCCCACACATTTAAAGGACCCCCACAACCAAAAACCACGCACCAGTGGCCTGTCAAAGCATGAATCCTGCTCCCATCCTTGCCTTGATTAACCTTTAATTTATGGAAATGCCAACAGATGGAGAGACTTCGAACAGGAGACCACAAGTTCAACATTTAAACCATTTGCTTTTTTTTTTTTTGGCCATCTTTTTTTTTTTTTAAAGTTGTTCAATCACACTGAGCGGAGAAACTTTGATTTAGTTATGTAATTAAACAGGCCTACGTAGAAATACATTATTATATACATAAATTATATATATATATATTTATATATATATATATATATATATATATATATATATATATATATATATATATATATATATATATATATATATATATAAAGTTTGTCTATACAATAATATATCAACAGTGTGAGACTTATTTATTTTTATGCATTTAGCGCTTACATTATTCAAGATCAACTTTATTTGATTGTGGTGTCTTTAACGTATCATAAGCGGACGATTAATATACTTGAAGAATGATAAAAAAATCTAGATCTATTAAGATGTGTCATTTACTACTAGATCTAGTCGTTTGGTCTATTGCTGAGAAAAGTGAACGTTGGTTAGTTTTAATACTCATTTTCGACTTCCTGATTTTATGAATAAAATAAAACGTCAAATGAAACAATAATTCCTACTAAGTTGTTCTGGTATAGTCTTACATGAGTAGATGTTACACGTCTATTATACGGGTGTATACTGTATATCATTATTAATAATATAATGTAACAGTAACTTTATATATGTACTTTTACACGTCAATTATATTGATGTATTCGTTATCTTTAACAGGTCAATTAGCTCCAGCTAATCCCAGCAACCCGATCAATTAGCAGAAAATAAAGCTCCCCCCCCCCTCACCCTGTCTTCTCGGACCTCCGAGCTTCGGGTTTATCAAGGCAACCATCTCGTTGACCACTTGACATGCCCCGCTTCAACATTTGTCACACACATCAACATAACTCCTTAAAACCCCTGCATTTTCCTTTTAACATTTCAAAACAAAAGGGGTAAAACTCTGCAAATCTCGGCGGCGATCAGCCAGCGTTGTCTTCCCCCTTGCTCCCCTAAAAAACATAATTACACCAGTGTTCATAGCATTAAAGGGAAAGTGCTGATTAATTCAAAATTGATTAGCCCGGCTGTAGTTTGTCGTTGCCGGTAAAGGCCGGGGTCGTAGCCTCGATGTCACATCGCATCCCCTGATAGGATCACCGGGCTCTGCTCACCCTCTAGCTCTGATAGCGCCGTTTTCATTTCCATGCAAATGAAGGCGCAACTTTTGGCGGGCACGAAGACCGGCGCGTC